AATGCAAAACCATCTAGGTACATTAGAGAAATAATCTGAAAATAACAGAATAATTCCTATGACGAGAGATTGAAGAAATTTGAAATGTCGTATGTCTGCAGCGTGATCACAAGGGCAAGATCAGAGAATCAAAACTTTAAAGGAGCCCTAAGACCACTGAATCCAACTCCCTCCTCAACTCTTGAGAAATTTCTTCTAACATTCAGAATCTGCCTTCCTATAATCTAAATCCATTATTTCACGTCCAGAACTATGCAAAGAAAGAAAACAAGATTTTGACCTTCTCCCATGTGACGTGATTTCAGGTATTTGAAGAGGGCTATCAGCTCCACCTTCAGTCTTCCCTTCTCAATGTTAATCCTTTCAAATCCTTCAATCTCTCGTCATAGGAATTATTCTGTTATTTTCAGATTATTTCTCTAATGTACTAAGATGGTTTTGAATATTAGGATATTAACTATCCCACTTAATTCTCTGTCAACTGCAAATCTGTTAAGAATTGTCTTCTCCATGCAAATAGTTCATAAACTGTAGTTTTTAAAAACAACAGGGCCCAGGGCTAAAATTTCTGACATCTCACTCAATACCACTAAAAGAATCTACAGTGCTTCAGCTTATGCAGCAAAATCACATTCCATATCTGTAAACACCCCCGGAAGATAATAGGCATTACTGAAGATTATGATCTGTTTTGCAGAACCACACAATCCACTAAGGTTTTACTCATCATGCCCCCTTCCCCTATCAGTGAAAGTACTTCTGGAAATGTGCAACCAAGAACTGCAGCATTGTGTCAGAGTACTGTGTCCTTCCAGTATAACCCTGTAGAATTCAGTCATTCTACCTAGAACAGGCAAGCTGCTTAACAATTAACAGGCCCAGAAATGAGCATTGTGAAGAAGCTGAGAGAGTTGAGTTAAACTTAGGAAGAAAACTTTTGGAACCGCTGAAGTACAAAGTGATGAAAATGTCTAGCAACTGTGCAGTGGCTCAACCTCTTCCACTCTCCACCAGCCCAAAGAAAGAGACTAAAAAAAACCAGTACAGTGCAGAACGAAAAAAACAAGCAATGTAGAAAGAGCAAGCAGCAAAAATTATTGCAGCACTTTATAAGAGAAGAAGGTAAAAAAGAAACAACTTCTGGTTCACTGAAACCACACACAGCTCCTTAAAAAAGCACCTGGAATTGCTGTGGTTGTTTGTTTGAACAGAAACCACAGCTACCTCCATCAGACCTACACATCTGACAGGCTGTCCCCACCCCATCACATACCAATCAAAAGGAGAACAGACCGTGTGCTCAAATTCAAGATCCCCACATTTGCAGTTTACCATTCCCAAGAGGAAAGCAGATTATAATGACTTGTCAAAAGAACCCAGAGACCCAGAGTTAATCACCGAAGCAACAAAATCCAGCCACAATAAGAGAGAGAGAGACAGACAGGACAAGGGGGAGGAACTGTAAAAACTGAGGTGTTGGGAAATGGTGAAGAAAAGAGAAGCAGATCAGTGAAGGACGCTCTGAAGAAAGAGAACAGGCCACTGCAGTGAGGAGAGGGGGAAACCCAGCAAGGTCAGAACACCCGGGCTACCCTTCACCCATCCTGACCTTCCCTTCTGTATCCCAGAGAGCTGCAAAGAAGAAGGTTTCAGGGCTTAAATTTTTGCTTGCCTGCAGGAGATGCATTGGAATTCACATCAAGACAGCAAGGCAGAAGTGTCATGTGAGATGAACCCAAGATTTCCCTGGAGCTTGGAGCCGGGTGGGAAGGAGCAGAGGCCGGGATAAGAATGACAGAATCAACAAAAGGAACAAACAGGACTGGGATCTACACTACGCACAGGACTTGTGCTCCAACGCAGCTGGAAGCCCCAAAGCTGGGCATGGCTGTTCTGGGTAATGGGATCTGCTGCGTTACTCCTGGCTAATGACATCTGCACAGTGCCTGGGGCTATTCTAAGCATGTGTGCCATCAATGTTCTTTCAACCTCTTTCACCCCAACCCTGAATTAGCATCAGCAGCCCCGTCTGCGGGGGGGG